ATTGTTACCAGATAAGGGTGAGGGGGTTCCTTCAGCTCCCCTGTTTCCATGCAAAATCACAGATACTTGAGATGCACATGTGAAAAGAATTTCAAGATGTCTTACAACAGGGAGTCATACAAGGTGAGGGTTTTGTCAAGGATTTAGTTTAGTGTAACAGGATAAATTAAGGAGAAGTGAGGAAAAAAAGGGAGAAACATTTCCTGATTCCCATGCAGGAAATGAGAGCAGACTCAAAGTGGCAGTTCATATTTGTAATCTTTATACTTTCTGAGCTGGGAGAATACACAGGGTCAAGTGGTCACCGTGTTTATCAACCCATAATCATTAGATAGTGGTTTTGGGTGGCTAAGATAAGTGCTGTTTATTACTTTAAAACACAGGTGTGTGATTTAGACCTAGAGAAAGCAGAGGGACAATAAGGCATTTTCAGGACTTCCTTTTGCTAGACATGCCTTTCATTCTTTCTGTCCCTCCACAGAGGACACTTGCCATTTCTTGACATTTCAAAGAGAAAGGCAGATGCAGATAGCCCCTTTGTGACTCCCTGTTCTTGTAACTTAACATCTAAAAGGAGGCTGGGGGGTGGGCTAGCTGCTATGGCTTTTTAGTTTTTACTTCCTCATTCCAATGTCTGAATATGGCCCTTTTTAATATTTATTAAAAATAATATAATTTCCCTCTCTTTTCATCTGTGTCACATAATTATACAATAAGCTAACTTGTTACTTAGTCATCTGAAAAGAACATAAAAATGCAAGCCTTGCTGATGCATGGATGACATGCGCAGGAATTTCAGGTGCTCAGGGTTCTTGAGCCTACTCTGAGAATGAAAGCACAGGCAGACTCCAACAGCAGAGGTCAGAAAGATTTTATCTGTAGAGAGGAGAAGAGAAAGAATGCATATTGGGGAATGCACGGGGACCTGGAAACTGGCGATCCTGGTGATCCCATGAGTGGGTTGGTTGGGGATTGGGTTTTATAGCCTTTTTTGCATTGCCTGAGAGCAGAGATGTCTCTCGAGTACAGACAGAGGTTTCCTGGGAAGGAGAGGTGTCTCCTTGACGACTTATCACCTTTTGGGACCTCCTGCAGTCTGTCCTTCAGGAACTGAAGTCTTCAGGTCACCTGCCCTCCATTTTCCACCTACCTACAGATAGATAAACTGCTGCTGATCCCATGACCACCTTCTGCCCAAGTCTATGGGACTGTAGAGGCCTTACCCTACATGTATCTGGCTGAGTCTGGGTAGGCTGTGTCCTTTCTCTCGTCTGGCCTACTTTGAATGCCCTCATTCTAGACACTGCCTCTTAGCCTCAATTCCTTTCTTTTTACAATAGGAAGCACTAACATGTATTGACAACTTACTCTGGACCAGACACTGTGATATACACTTCATTTCATTCATCTCTTAGAATGAGGTTATGCTAGGAGATAGATTTTTATTATGATTCCCATTTTGTAGATACAATAATACACCTTCTACTGTGAGGTTCTTCTCTGGAGGTCTGCTCACTGCTGAGCCACACTTAATCTCTTTGGATTGTCTTTAAAACCACATTTCTTTTTTTTTGAAGATTTTATTTTACCACATTTCTTTTATTTTCTTCTGAAGAAACAGAGAGAATGGAACATTCATGACACTTTCTTTAAAAAAGTAAGAAAAATCAAAAGAGAGACAAGACAGAATATTAAAACAAATCTGTTTTCCCCCATGGAAGTTGATTGACAAGTTAGCATCCAGACATGGGGAGCACCTTTGTAATGTCACACCCCAAACTGGGAAGTGTCCCACCCAGAAATGTTCCTAAATGGTTTTGGGAGACCTTTGTTTTGCTGTGCACAAAAATAATCCTCAATGGCCTGGTCCAGAACTGTCAGTAGAGAGCTTCTCTCAAACTGAGACTGACCAAGAGTGACTTCAACACTCAACACTTTGCACCTTCTCTTTCATGGTTTCTTCTGCTCCAACCCCTCACTCCACATATTTCCTGCCCTTTCTGGGCTATATTCCGGGTTCAAGAACACTTCCATTCTCCTTCTAGAAACAGAAACTTCTGTTGGTTGAATGTGCTATCTCTTCCCAGAGGATACCTGGGAATTTCTCTGAAACTTTTGCCTGTCTGACAGTAGGCAACTCCTCCCAGGTTTAAAAGAGGGTGCAGTGAGCTCCTATAGCCTTCAGCCTTTCTGTCCTCCCTTCTGATTTCTGCTTCCTGAGTATGTAACAAATTTTCACTCCTCTCAACTTTCCTGTAAAGATTTCACCTCTCTCCAGAGGGAATGTGGAAACTGAGTCATATGGGAGGATTCCCTTTTGCAGTGTCTCTTTTTATCCTTTCTATCCACAATCGCTTCTGATTCCTGCCCTTGGTTTCCCGCTTTCCTCCTCTGGTGCAAGACTTGTTTTAGGTGGATTGAATGTACAATTTATTTTCCCTTATGTTTATATCCTGGGATCTCAAAGTAAAGGACACATGAGAGAATAAGAAAAGAGATTTCCTTTAGAGTAAACTCAAAGACAAGCAGAAACCACAGTGGAATTTTAGCAGACACTGAGGGAGTTGGAAGGGGAAGATGATATTGGGTTGTGGGACAACCTGGTATCCTCAAGTCACAGACTAAGGGGTACCAATCTAGTCCTCACTTGTGGAAAATTGGCCAGGTGTGATGGAGGAAAGCAAACCCTCTGCTGCTGTGCTGGGCCTTCTAGATTGGAATTCCTCAACAACCAAAATCCCCTTAGCTTCCCCACATGGTTTATAAATATTGAGAGTAACTTTGTGGGTACAGAAATCCTTCACACTGTTACTGTCCACCTCACCCTGGGGACTGATGAAAAGGATCATGTAGAGTTTGCAAGGTGGTCCAGCAAAGATATGGGAACAATAGCTAGTCAGGCTTTGCATTCACGTTATTTAGTCCAGCAGAGTGCAATTTTTGTTTTCATTTAGGACTTCTGTTGAAAACCAGCTGATTTGAAGACTTAGCATTTCTGGATATTCAGTTCAGCTTTAAGGCTTTATGAAAAAGAAGAAAGAAAATTGGAACATTCATCTAGTTGGAGGCAGGGCAACATACAGCATGGCAATATACAGCATTGAAAGGATGTTATTCTTGAAGCTGTCTACTTGCTGCCTTGACTCTTGCAAACAATGAGATGATTTTTCTCCATAGTAAGCACAGAGAGAGGTTATCCATTTTGTTATCTCATTGTGGTTCATATTAATGTAATGACAACTTCAAATCAACTTTTGTTATCTATTCCCCATCATTCATTAGAGTGTACTCAGTGAGTATGGGTGTCTTTTTTTTTTTTCTTAACTACAATGTATTATACTTGTAGGGAGCTTGCCTAGTGTGTGTAGAGCATTGGATTCAATCCCCAGCACTATAAAAATAGTAATAAATTACAAAACTTAAATGTAGATTCTAAAAGTTTCATTAAAAAGGAACTTACTAAAAACACAACACAACAATATACTTCAGGTTTTTGTGTGAGGGAGGTTGACCTGGGGGATTTGATGGTTTGTTTTAAATTTTCTCTCTCATACTCATTAAATTTACAGTGAGACTTTAAAAAAATGTATTATTTGGGGAAAAAAATGTTTCTCTAGTCTTCAGGAGTTAGAACGAAACTTCAGAATCTAGTTTGTCTTATTGTAACAATAATACTAACCTTAAAGAGTCACATAAATAATGTATCACTCAAGATAACTACCAAAACTGTATATTTCATAAATATTTTGCTTCTAATTAAATAAATTCCAAGCTGTTTGAACTATAAAAGGTTATACATGATGTATATGATTGAATGAATATATGTATATAATTTTTTTTTACAGTTCATAAGTATAAGGAATTCTCTCTGCAACATGTGTGTGAGCCAGGACCTCAGAATTTAGTTTTTGCTACCAACCTCTGATTTTCTTTCTTTTTTTTGTTGGGACTAGGAACTCAGGGCCTCATGCTTGCTAGACATGTACTCTCCCACTTGAGCCACTCTGCCAGCCCTTTTTTGTGTTAGGTATTTTTGAGAAAGGCTTTTGTGAACTATTTGCCCAGAAGGAAGCAAGAACTGGTAAAACAAGAGGTGCAGGTGCTACTGCATTGCCACAGAGTTGAGTGCTAAGCAAAATAGACGCCTACTTGCTGTGGCCACTTTCTGCTTCCTGCTCATTTCCCTCTTTTTCCTTCGTTCTTCTCTTCTCGTGTTATTGTCCTCCTCCATTTGGTCCACATTCATTGACCGGCCACTTCTCTCCCTGTTACTCTCTGCTTATTTGACTCTAAAGAACTCCTCTACATTATTGGTCTTTACACACTCTCACTTTTTCATCACTATCTTTGGAAATTCCTAGAATTTGGATGGCATTTTATCACTCCACTAATAGTACACATGGCTTCTGTTTAGCCTCTTTCTTCACACTTCACTTGCTCTGGGTCTGCAGCACTTAATGATTTTGTCCAGCACTTACTAATTTTCTTTCCTGAAAACTCCCCAACCCCCCTTTTTTGTAGGACTTCTGTCTTTCTCTCCCTCAGGAACTGCATGCTGTGCTTCTTATAGGCCTTCTTTGCCCTAAGTATTTATTAGTACGGTGTCCAGAGTTAGGATGGCCATATAATTTTTCACCCAAAAATATCCTTGAGAATTAAAGGGTGCTCAACTGGCAACAGACAATAAGCAGAGCTTGTCCCAGGCAAATTGAGACATATGGTCCATAAGACTCAGGGGGTAGGGACAGTGGAGAAGAGCTTGGGGCCAGATACAAATGAGCCTAGTTCAAGGAGCTTTCTTAAATCCATCTTCAAATTGCTTAGCTACTTCTGCTTAGAATCTCAAGTTAAAGTCAGCTTCGCATTCTTGAAAGAATCCAGTTACCTGAGAAAGGTGTCATGGCAGATTTGGGAGAGAAAAATGAGTGAAGAAAAAAAGTCTAGGTAAGGAAAAGTCAGAGCTGTTTGACCCAGATATTGTAATACTCCCTGGGTTCCAGTCATTGGGCCTGTCCTTTAAAGTAAAGATGAACTTGGTGCTGAAACCTTATCCAGGCTCTTCTCAGCCCAGGGTTTCTCAAGATTAAATGCACTGAGTGGCCAGCTGGGTAGGCAATCATGACAAATGTGCACAATATGTTCCAGAAACTGTAGGTATCAAAGATGCTTGACAAAGAAATAAATTGAGCAAGTGCATTGATAATGTAGAGAATGAGAGAATAGCTGGTAGATTTGATGGCCCCCAAGTGGGCCTCCATACTGGGGTCCCTGGAGCCTGTGGCATTGTTTTCCATGTTCTGAGTGTGTCTCTTGAGAGAGAAGATCAATAGAGTAGCTGCCAGGATGAACATGGTTAGAGGAACAAGGACCCCCATGTAATACAAAAAAGCCAGGCTGATCAGATTGGTCTCAGAGATGTACTTCTTCTCAGTGGAGTTAGAGAAAGGGACAGGAATGGAAGTATTCACATATGCATTGAAGATGTCTCTAGAGAAGAGAGTGCTCAAGTAGAAGGAAACAAATATTGACAGACTCACAAGCTGAGGCATCAGCTCTATGATTTTCCTCTTCATCATAAAGAACAAAGGGTGAGTAAAGTTTGCAATTTTAAGACAGTAGAAGACATTAAGCCAGGCAGCAAACCAGAGGTTGGAATAGTTCAGAAACACAGTGACAGCTTTGAATATTATATATATTGTCTTTTGGTTATAAGGGACTCTGAATAGCAGACTGTAAATAATTTCCAGTATTATCCAAATCTGTAGTAAGATCCTGGAAAAACTCAGCATCAGCATAAGGCAGTCACCACTGGGGAGTCTTTTCTCTCTAAACCACTCAGCTCCATATATGGCTGTGATGAAGCAATTCCCAATGATGCCAATGAGGCACTCCATTCCACAGAGTACCAAGGCAAAACCAGTTTTAAACTTGGAAGCATCTTTGTCTGTGGCACCTGTTGTCACTATCGCCATTCTTTCTGACTTGGACTTTCAGGTTCCACACCAAGAATTAGAAACTTCTGTGCAATCCTCGAACACTTCACTCAATGTTATCCTCATTTTTCCCCTTCTGTTAACGGCTATTTTCAATTTTTCTTCATTTGCTTGTCACATGATTGCAAGTTAGAGGCTTGTCATGCAAATGATGAAAGGATCCAGTTACTGGCTTTGTCTTCATTTTCATAAAGACCTATTTGGGGCTTTCAGGAGCTCATTGGTAGACTTTTGCAATGGATGTCTACTACAGCACCTTCATACCTTACTTAAGCACGTATTCACCCGATAGGACAAGAATCTCAAGTTAGGAAGCTCAGTGTTCCATGGCCTTTTTACTTACCTTACAACACCCATGTTTCTTATTACATTACTTGTTAAAACACATACTGCTCCTTGTATCTGCCTTTTCCTGCTTCCTTTCTCTTCTCTCTTATTGTGGGAGTGGTTTTTACTCCTATGGTTATCATGTGTGTGAATAAGACCTTCTCATTAGCTCATGCACAAACATCTTTTACTTACTACCAACTTTCTTCCAGAAAGGCCATCTGTCCTCAAACAGTACACAGAAAAGCCAAAACTGGATGCCATTTAGGTTAATTAGAGACAAGAAAGTCTCCATAGACCCAATATTTATTATGTGTGTGTTAGTTACAATTTACTAAGATCTATGTGAGTATTTCAGTCCAGAATCAGGTAGAGTTAGCCTGGGAAGGCTTTGAAGTGCAATGCTGAGAACATAGTGTTGAAGTTGGGAAATGTGACCAAATGCTGTGACTCAAAATCCAGTTTCTCTCTTCTTAACTCTGACTTATGAATCAGAATGAGTTCTGGAGCACTTTAGATATCAGTATTCATTCTAAATCTACCAAATCAGAATTTGGGAAAGACTTTTCTTAAAAAATTAGATTTGGCAATATTTGTTCTGCATGGTGAATTGGTTGAAGCTGGGTAGTAACTGCTCATTTTAAACAAGGTAAATACTTTTCTGTTTGCTGTGTCTCCTAATTCCTGATACCTTCTTTACACTCAAGCTTGGTGCCAGCTTTCATTTGCTTGTGTGCCTGCCCTGTTGTATGGTGGTAGATGATAAAAATGGATTTCCCCACCCACAAATTAATTTCATTTAAAGTAAAGAAGTTGGATATTTATTATTATAATATTGTGTAGCCAGGCGTGATGGTGTGTGTATCTGTAATCTCAGCACTTGGGAGGCTAAGGCAGGAGGATCTCAAACTCCAGGCCACTCTGGATTCTGTCTCAAAAATTGTATCACAGTATTAAATCACATTTGGATGAAAATAGCACCAGACAAAGCCATGTATTGCAAAGTTGATGAAACATTGTTTGGAGAAATAACTCATGTAAACATAGAGACTTGTACTGAAGAAATAACTCATGTAAACATAGAGACTTTTATAAGAATGCACATAGCAGCCTTACTCATCAGAGCTAGAAACTGGAGACAGATTGATGGACAAGTTCTGCATTTCCTGTAAGAGGCTCACTTTTTCTGTTAAGTCTTTTTAATGGAGGAGTATAGTATTTGTCAGCAACCTTCACATATTCTAAAGAACCAAATTTATCTTTTTGCTTATTTTGCCCCAACTTATATAAGTTTATAATAAATAACATCTCTCCAAATTTCTTGCATATAGCTGTTGGTTTACATTTTTTCTAGTGACATTTTTGTTGTTTTCAATGACGTTTTTCTCTGGTTTTAAGAGGTGAGAGCAGAAGGGGATGGTGGGCAGGATCTGTCTCCAGTCTCAGAGACATGAGAAAGAGGGTAGGGAAGGGAACAGTCGGCTGGGGATGGACGCCTGTCTAGACTGCCAAATCATAGTGTCATACTTACAGCGATGCTGGGCCAATTAATTTTTTAGCTCCTGATACTTTCTCATTTGGGGAGCTGGAATGGAGGTGGTTTGAAATGTGTTCTCTAAAGTTCATGTATTGGAAATTTAATCCTCAATGTTCTCAATGTGTTGAGAACTTTAAGAGATGATTAGGGCATGAGGGCAGAGCCCTCATAAATGAAATCTTGTCATTATCCTTTGTCTGTCATAAAAGTGAGTTCAGCACCTTCTTGATCACTCTTGCCTTTCTGCCTTCTGGTACGGAATGAGGCAGCCATAAGGCTTTGCCAGATGAAACCTGCTTAACCTTGCACTTCCCAGACTACAGAACTGTAAGAAACAAATTTTTGGTTTTTATAAATTACCCCATCTGTGGTATTTTGTTATAACAGCACAGAACAGACTGAGAGAGGCATCTGAGCCCGGCATCTCTACTTCAGAGAAGATTTCATGGGGGAACTAAAATCAAAGGTTTCAAATTCTTGGCTGTTAGGATCAAAGGCTTTGGTCCAGGTGTAGGATAGAACAGATTTGGAAGAATATGTGATTAGGGGGGTCATTTTTCTATCACTTGTCTCTCTACAACCACACAGACTAGAAAATGTTTTTCAAGTTGTAGAGGGATGGAGAAGAGGAGACAGGTAGCTAGAGAAGAGGAGGATCTCTGCGGAAAGGGCCTATGCCTTGGCCCACTCCTTATGCTGCATGGGGGTGTCAAAGGCAGACAGGGTTGAAAGACAGCCCTAAAACTCCCTCTTGGGAAAGGTACTAAACCCTCATCATGCCAAAACAAAGAGTTTGGAAATCTGTTGAGTGACTTGGTGGATTCCAAAGGGACCTAGTGGTTATATCAAGGAGACTCTGCAAGTTGCATTCAGATACAGTGCACACCCTTCAGTTTAAGCCAATGTCAGGACAGAAGAATGGCCATTGAATAGACTTCACACTCTACCATCATACTGAGTGTCTGTGGGATCCCTGAGGATCACACAAGGATACCCACCTGAAGGAGGGGAGAAAGGAGAAATCCTGAGCAAATTCAGTGAGGATGATGTTTAGGCCTGCTATGGCTGAGAAAACATTAAAGCATGTTTAGTTTATGGAGCAGGATCATCTCAGTAAGGTGGATAAACGTAGTAAGTATTCAGCTCTGTGCTAGTGAATCTCTTTTTCCCATCCCATAGTGATATCTTAAGTAGATTTCATATTTTTTAGTTTTGTTTGGTTATCAATACTCCTGTTCATTTTCATATTTGGTTTAAATCTTATTTTCTCCTTTTCCCTTGTCTCAGTTTGAGCTGAGATCCTATCTGCTTGGATTGGTTGGGAACAGCGTAGGCTCTGTGACACCCATCTCTCTCTCTTCAAGACTTGGCTGGTATGGAGAAGAAAGGAAGCAGAATCTCATCTTTTTATTTTACCCACTGCTGTTGTCAATGTGCTCTTCTGGGTTGCTGCTGCTTCTCTGGCTAACACCATCTGGCCTTCCAAGCCTTCTGGGTGCCAGGCATCCATGTGTTGTTGGCTGCCTTGTGAGAGCATGTGTGAGTGCTTCAGGAGGCTCTGCAATAACTCCCCACTCTGCTCCTTGTAACTTCAGTAGTCCTCTCCTTTTTTTCTTTCCCTATTTTTTTTATATGAGTAGACTTAGGAGGAGGGTTGACATTGGAATGATGGCTGATTGCAGGAGGGTTGGTACTACAGCTTTGTTAATAAGCTTTTCAGCTGGCATCTGGCCTTAGTTATTGGTTCCTTTCTTTCAGTTAATCTTCCTCAACCCTATCTAATACTGGCATTGTCTAAATTGCCTAAAGTGCTCTTAAAAAACATCCATAACCCTATACAACCCCCAGAGATTCTGAATAGATGTCCTAGAGAAAAACTGAGCATTGAGATTTTCAAATCTCTCTATTTTCATTCTTATATAGAGCTGGTGGGTTGGTGGGGATGGGTGTTTCAGTCTTTTAAGGGAACTTACTGTTTTGTTTTATGATGCAAGCTTTAGGGTCAATTCTGAAATGACAGGAAAAGTGGCTTTCAGGATCCTTTCCTTGTGGAAATGACTCAATGAGTTTTTGGAGAACACTGAGACGCTATGTCCTTCTTTCAGGTGGAAGGAGACTAAATCAAGACGTTGAATTACAGAAAAAATTAGAATACTTTTCAAAACAGAGTTTGTGGCTTGTGGAATCATATCTACTATATAATGTTAGAAAAGCAACAAATTTCTTGGATGCACATCTCTATGAAAGTAGAAAAAGGAAGATAAATCAAGAAGGTCATATGTTCTTCTTTGTAAATGAAAGAACATTTGTATATGCTTATTTGGCAAAGGATGTAATGAAAGAAGACAGCCTAGAGGTCATTATGAAACAAACCACTGTAGAAACAAAGACCAGAGACATGGAAAAAGTGTGTGATCAAAACCTAATGTGCTGAAAAGAGAATTGAAATGTCAACAAGGCTTTATCTTCATTGTTTATAAAATAAGCAGTTTTATATTTAAGTGAAAAATCTACCTGGGGCATCAAATTCTTCATAGATAGCAAGTTGTAGAAGAGTGTCTACTGAATGAAGGGGAAACTGTGTCCTGAAAAAATATAAGCACGCACAAATGTAAACGTGACCAGAAATGCTTCTGCTCAATGCAGTGGAAATATGGTTAAGGAATTCAAAGAAAAGTTACACAAAAGTTAAAATGGTGGCTTTTGCTACTGCAGCTGATCAGGATGCATACTTAGCAATACTTAGACATAGCAATTAGCTGTATTTATTCACTGTGGGGTAGAGAGTTATATGACTGACAATATTTTGGATACTGTGCCCATGACAGATAAGACACCGGGAAGTAATTCAGAAATTAATTTTTGCAAAGAGAGGAATCTTTTGAATAATTGAATGTAGAAGATTTGTGTGTTTGTGCAATGCTGCTCTTGGGGAGGATGACGTTAATATTGGACTTATCATAAAACTTAAGTTTCATGTGACAGATTATGTAAGGACACAGGCTTTGCATGTACTCATTTGCATTATTCAACAGCCTTTGCTTTCTGCTACAAGTTAAAAATGGAAGATGCCACGGACACAGTGCTTACCACTTGAGCTGGATTTCCTTGTGGG